TTAAAAGAGTACTTCTCAGAGCAGAGGAAAAGATACTGTTTGCTGAAAACAAAATGGGTTTCAGAACTCAGCAGAGATGTTTAGACTTAGCTAAGTGAAATAACTTCCTGGCAAAGTGGCAATGTTCACAATAACTGTATTGTCTATATATGTGTGTTTCTTTCCTTCATGATTTTGACCTATAGGAGACTCAAAAAAGGTGTCAAAGCTAAAGTGATTTGGGAAGGAACCTCATTGGAGGGTGACATCTAGATAGAATATACCTCTTTCAGATTAAAAAACAAATCCAGTGGAACATCCACTAGGGCAGAACTAGCAAATTCCCTGGAAGAATTTACCAAGCTCATATTTTCTAAAATATGTGCTTAGTGCCATATAGTCAGCTTTCAATTACATGCAGTTCCTGGGCAGGTTTCCCAGAAAGATAGTAAGTTTTTTGACTTTGAAGATCTAAAATAAAATGAAAAGGGGAAGCCTTGAAATTAGCCATGTGTGCTTATCAGAATCAGGAAGAAATTGTTCTGCTCTCTTCTATCCAATATTTGTGATTATTCATGTGTAATAATGGTACAGTTGCCTCCCACACATATGCACACACCTGGTCAGCCTTGTATCCTTTTCGGTCACTTGTGGTACTAGGTCTTCTTTTTTCTTGGCTTACTAAAATGTACACCTAACCCTAACTCTAAAATAAAGTTGATTTTTTGAGCAACTTGTTGGCTATAATGTGGGATTAAGTAGTTTCTGGGCAGGACTCCACACCCCACTTGCTGCTATTATGTCTCAAAGACAACCATTAGGGACTAGGTAATTTGATGGTCTAGTATTTTGATCATTTCCTTTACTTTATTAAAACAGATACATTTATTTTGTGGTGTGGGAGATCGAACCCATGGTTTTCTACATGAGAGGCAAACACTCTACCAACTGAGCTCTATCCCCAGCCTAAAAAAGATACATATTTTGATGGGTATTTTATCAGCTAACATTATAAAAGCTTAGTCAGATTAAGTTTAACCAAAATGACAAGGTTATCCCTGATATTCGTTTGAACCAGATTGTACTTGGATAAAGCAAATAAAGATCTACTATAACTGAAAGATGCTCTTGAAATAAAAATAATATTCACTGAAGCTCAGGTTTAGAGGAACACATATATATTCATAAACAAATACAATAACTTCCCACAATAATTCCCTAAGAAATCCCTATAAGTTCCAGACACCAGAAACTGATCATACTAAATTTGGACCATTAGTTCCTTCTTTCTTTCTTCCTCCCACCCCCATTCTCAATTGAGGAAGGTTAGGATCCTGAAGTTAGGAAAAATTTTGCTCAAGAAATCTGGTATATTGCTTCAAATAAATCTCTCATTTAAAATTGGAGTCTGTTCAGTGCCTGTTCCAATATGGATTCCATCTTATGCAAAAACAATCTCAAAAGAATAGTGATATACTCTGAAAAAATAATCCTTTCTTTTTTATTCCCAAAATCCCTAGATAAAGAAATATTTATACTCACAGTTGATTTAGGGTTTTCCCATGGTTAGAAGTCTTTTTCATCATCCCAAGCAACTTTTTCTACTTGAAAATAATGTTACATAAACAAAGGGAATGAATCATCAGCTTTCCAGGGAGGAAGCCAGAAGAATCTTAATGGAGATGCTCTCTATTCATTAAGCTAAAATATAAAGTTGGAAATTCATTAATGTGTGGACAACAAGGGAATGACCAAAGGAAGTATAGACTCCCAGATGGTAGCATTGACTTTAAGTTCACTTCAGTTCAAGAGGTGTTCTTTTTTTTATTAGTTACACATGACAGTACAATGATCTTGACAATTCATACACTTGAATCAAATGGGGTATAATATCTCATTTTTCTGATTGTACAGGTTGCAGAATCACATTGGTGTTCTTAACAATTTAGATCATTCCCTTCTTTTAGTGCTTATAGAGTACAATGTGTTTTGCCTATGATCACAGTTTTCAGACTCTACAGTAATTATCATTCTCTCTCTCTCTCAATTATAAGGTTCAATAAGACATGTATCATGTGCCTTTTTCTAAGGTCTTTATTTGAAGAACCAAGTATGGTGCCTGGCACACTATACTTGCTGGATAAATATTTGCTGAGTAAATATTTGATGAATCTCCATGTTCCAAGTTTGGTACTAGGAACTTAGGGGCTACACAGGTGCACAAGTTTCAGTCCATGACTTTAAAAAGTTTCTTGACTAGTTGGAATGGGGTGGGCTGGGCAGGAAGACAATGGCATAAATATGACAAAGACAAAAATTACAGTACTTGACTTGAGAGGCTGAGGCAGGAGGATTGTGAATTCAAAGCCAGCCTCAGCAACTTAACAAGGTCCTAAGCAACTGAGGAAGACCCTGTCTCAAAGAAGAACTTAAAAGGGGCTGGGGATGTTGCTCATTGGTTATGTGCCCTTGGCTCTGGTACCGCCCCCAAAATTATCATACTTAAAGAAAAGGGAGTTAGATACTTTAACAGATTTAAAAATGAGATTCAGAGAAATGGCCTAGCATAGTGGTATTAACTATAAAATATTTCATGAAAAACAAGAAATTTGAGAAAGGACTTTGCTAATAGGTAAAATTGATGGGCAAAAAAGAAGATACTCCAAGTGACTCAGGAGTATTGCAAGTTTCAGATCAACGTGAACTACTAAGTGAGACCCTGTCTCAAAATAAAATAAAAAGGGCTGGGACATAGGTCAGTATTAGAGTATCTCTGGGTTCAATCTCCAGGATCAAAAAAAAAAAAAAAAAAAAAGGCTAAGGTAGCAAAATGTGCAAAGAAAATGTTTATGCAAAGAAAAAAGTCGGTTTGATGAGTGGGAGCTCAATTGAGCTGGAATGCTAAGCATAGAGTAGTAGGAGACAAAAACCTAAAGATAAATGGTACTTTATTAAGGAAGCCTTTGAATGTCAGACTCTGTGGTTTGTGATTTGTGGGAAATAGGGAGACGTGAATATTTTTTAGGAAGTTATCTTAGAAAAGAACTCATAATAGCCTGGTGTAGAATGGAGTAGGGAAAAAAAGAGGAAATACAGAAACCAATTAAGTAATAAAAGCCTAAACTAGAGTAGAAACAATACAAATTTTTAAATTGATATGAAAATTAATTCACTTACATAAAATAACCAGTTGTGATTATTAATATTTCTTGAACACTTATTATTAACCCAGCAATATACTAAGTGCATTATATATTTTTTAACTCAATTCTCATACTGATTCTGTAGGTTGGTAATATGATTATTCTCATTTTGCCAAGGAAAAAATTAAGGACCATAAAGGTTTAGTGTGGTACTAAAGGTCATACAGCTATTAAATGAAGGATCAAGAATTTATTTATTTATTTAGGAAAGTAATTTTTTTATTGGTTGTTCAAAACATTACAAAGCTCTTGACATATCATATTTCATACATTAGATTCAAGTGGGTTATGAACTCCCATTTTTACCCCAAATACAGATTGCGGAATCACATCGGTTACACATCCACATTTTTACATAATGCCATATTAGTAACTGTTGTATTCTGCTACCTTTCCTATCCTCTACTATCCCCCCTCCCCTCCCCTCCCATCTTCTCTCTCTACCCCATCTACTGTAATTCATTTAGGATCAAGAATTTAAATCCAGCTTTTTATGACTTCTAAACAGATTATTTCTCTCATGGTATGGTATTGCTCCTTTAGGAAAATAAATTTAAAAAAAAATATATATATATATATTAGTTGTAGGTGGACACAATACCTTTATTTTATTTGTGTGGTGCTGAGGATCAAACCCAGGGACTCACACATGGGAGATGAGCACTCTACCGCTGAGCCCTAGCCCCAGCCCCAGGAATATATTTAAAAATGGAAAATAAGTGAGAAATTCTCCATATCTCCAAAACTTGATACAGGCTGCCTGGGAAATATTTATTATCTTAAAAATAATAATTAAGTCTAGCTGGGTGCTGTGGCGCATGCCAGTAATCCTAGCAGCTCAGGAGGCTGAGGCAGGAGGATCGTGAGTCCAAAGCCAGCCTCAGCAATGGTGAGGCACTAAGCAACTCAGTGAGACCCTGTCTCTAAATAAAATAGGGCTGGGGATGTGGTTCAGTGCTTGAGTTCCCCTGAGTTCAAACCCTGGTACCAAAATAATAAGTATGTCTGGAATAGAATCTTGTTTGAATTTGGAGAGGTGATCCTTTTTGTTTGGGATATGTTGATTTTTTTTGTCAGTTAATACACATTTACAAAAATTGTTGAATTTAGTAAACACTGAGCACTTACTCTTTGTCTTGCACAGTTCTTGGCTCTGGGTATATAGCAAATAATTAAAACATGCAAGAATATTTTCCTCATGGACTTTGCATTCTAGTAGGGAAATATAAATAAAATAAATTAGTAATAATGATCAAGTAGGTCATTGATGATTGATATGGATAAAATAATTTCAGAGGTCAGTTGGGAAGGGCTAGGAGAGAGTTTCAATTTTAAATAGGAAGATCAAGGAAAGCCTCATTGAAAGGTAACAATGTGTGAGTATGAGTAAGCATGGTTGGGTTAGTACATAGTAAGGGCACTTAACATCAGTTCTTATCAACTTTCAAGTAAGTGATACAGTATTGTTAACTATAGTCTCCATGTTATACAATACATCCACAAACATATTAATTTTGTAATTGAAAATTTATACCCTTTGACCAACAT